TTTACAATTACTCTAAAGGCTTTTCTAAAATAAAGATTCACACTTTTTTGTGTCAGTTCAGTTTATGATTAAGAGAATGGCAAAATTAAAAGACTTGGGGTTGCAACAGTCGCTAAATTTAACCTAGATGTAGTCTAGGCCGTTGCTTTTTGGGGAGTTTTAGAAAGAGAGAGAAAGAGGGGATATATATATCCATTATACAATGTGACTCTTACGTGTCTGCAACCATTAAACTCTGAACAGATTTCCTTTCGAATTAATATCAACATCTGAGAAGAAAAACACGTAGCATTCCTCAACGCCGATTCGTTCTATTTTTTTATCGCGTGGTTGAATCCTTAAAATTCGCTTCCAGCACGTAAGGCGATCTCACACTCTCGCACCTAACCGTTCCATTAACCGCTTTGTTTATTATTACCGCAAATTAAGTGCACTTAATTTATTGTGTTTGACGCTCTATGTACCGAAAAAGATACACTATCCGCCGAAGTTTGTTTTACCTTCGATAACTCGAAAATTTCAACAAATCCTCGCCCCCGGAATGTGATAGAGTCACGTAGCGTGCATCGGTGAACGCTGCTTGTGGTGTCTAGCTCCGTGTACTCTAGGAGAGAAATATCGCTCTGAGGTATTGGGGGTCACATGTATAACTCTCTTGCAGCGTGCATCACGGACAGGGGGTTGGGGTGGGGGGGGAGTTCTGTCTGTGTGTGTGTGGGGGGGGGCACGATTGTGTTGAAAATATTAAATTGATGAAGGTCATTTTATAAAGAATTGTTATATATATAACCTGGCCTTTATGGATCTTGCATATCAATAAATATGGTAGATATAAATGCATCCTCCAAGTTTACATTGAGTTTTGATGGCCACAGGAAACAAATATCTATCTCATCAGCAAAACCGTGTTATATGGTACGTAGATAATTGAGAGGTAGCTTTCCAGTGCCGTCTCAACCTGAAATAATGTTGAAATAGAGCAATAAGAATCTTTTTAATACTAAGATAATGAAACCTTTTATAGGACGCGGTGTCTTTTTTCTTCTCAGTAAGTAACGAGAAATGATTCGTCAAGTAAAACATTCTCACTAAGTTTCAAAGAATATTTAAACTCTGCACCCTAATTCATGCTCTCTTTTTCTTCCTGGCGGAAAGGGTCTCCTCTTCCAGACAATGAAGTCGTGAGTGCATAAATGGGAGTGGTTTAGTTTACGCAAACGTTTTGATCAAACGAGATCCACCTGAACATAGCCATGTTGAGAGAGTGACAGCAGAATAACTGAATATCAACTACTTGTGTTTAAATACATATCGGAAAATAATTTAATCGGTCATCTGCATCATTCAGTTTATTACGTCTGCCAATTGGCTCGAAATAGTGTCTTCATTCAATAGTGACAACAATTTTTATCGCTCTCCACTATTGTGGTATCTGTTTGGTTACCTGCTGCAGAGAATAACGTTACCTGTAAAGGTGTTGATATACCCTGTTCCTGAAGAACCCCCTTCCCCTTCTCCCACCCCCAAGGTACGCTACGTCACCCTCCCTGTACTGTATTTGCCGTAGGATGGATGGAAAGAAGTGTTATGATTACCCCTCTCTCTCTCTCTCTCCCCCCC